TGTGTATGATGTGTGTGTGTGTGTGTGTGTGTGTGTTACTTTCTATTTATATTATATTCAACTTGTGTTAAATTATTATAATTTAAGTGGCTGTTTAATTAAGACACGCGAAATGTGTTGAATTTAATACGAACTTTTTAAATATTTAGTCAGTTATTTTTTTTATCATAAATGTTCTTAAGTTTTAATACAGCTTTGTGATTGGCTGTGACATCTTGACCATTGACTATACTTGAGAATCTAATCTAATCTAATCTTGAGATGGCTTTATAAATACAAGAATCGATTATCATTATGTGAATACCGGCTGACGTTACGTTTAAATTTCACAATCTAATTGTAAAAGTTTGCTCTTGCTCTCCAATCAATTGGTGAATATTCAGTTATTATTTTTCAAAATTCAGTAATAAGTACACCTACACCTCGTACTTACACGGTCGCGAAACTTGGCGTTGCCGGCCAGTGTTGGCCAGTGTGAAATGTTTGTAATAATCTTCCTATGTTTTGTTGTTTGGATGCTAATCAGGTAAGAATTTTTCAGTTCGCCATCATCATCGCGATTGTGGAATACTTTTAAAGATTTATTTTGAAGATAAAATGTAACAAAGAGCGTTTTCGATTCACGTTCTAAAAGGTTAGAAAATGTGCTAATACCGACTATAACCTGTGACAATTCATTGATAATTGCATTAACCAATCATAATCGAGTATTTTGCTAAGTTAGGTTTTGAATGTATGGTTCTGTTCTCGACATTCCAAGATAAACGTTGGAATGCATTACATTTATTTCGAAAGATTGAGAGATTCAAAATAAGTTAGTAAACAAAGTAATAAATTATTTGTGTTACTGACAGTATTGTTAATAATATTATAAAATCATTTTCTGTCTGTTAATTTTATGTGCAATTTTAATCAACAATGTTACATATTGTTCTACTTAATTGTTATATTATTCATAAGTGTTATAATAAGAAATGTTAACATTTTTTTTCAGTTAAGAGTTGTATTGTTATTAATTATACATGTATTACTTTATGGAAATTTAAATACACTAGATATTATATATGTATACAAAAATATAGTTTTTAAATTATAGGTTAGGTCTAAAATAGAGGCTGTAATTTATTACTATTAATGCTTATTGGAGAAAGAAGAAGTTAACAAGAATGAAATAATTCCTTTCTTTTTCAAGAATGGATAATATGTTAACCAACACAGACAAGAAAAAGAGAAACAAAGCGACAAGACAGCTTGTTCCAAGTACTGAACGTAAGACATCTGGATGTAATTGGGAAACGTACAAAAATTTGTTCTCTAAGACGAAGACGGAAGAAAACACTGGAGAAAAAATCATTTCACAGAATAACAGACGTCCAAAGTTTAAAAAAGTACACACTACTCCATTTTGTATGGTAAATATATTTATAGTATTGAACATATAAATGTTTATTGATTAGCAATTTGTTAACATATATCTGTGCCAAGTGCAGGATTCACAAGGACAAAACAGTAAGCAAGATGTCGTGAAAAATAAAGAGAACAAGACTTTGACGAAGCAGCTCGCCATGGACTGCGAAATGGTTGGAATCGGTAATGGCACGGAGAGTATGATAGCTCGAGTGTCAATTGTAAATAAATACGGCGATTGCATTTATGACAAATATGTTAAACCAAGAGAAAAGGTCGTAGATTACCGAACGGCAATTAGCGGCGTTCGACCAGAGCATTTGCAAGATGGAGAAAGCTTCAATATTGTACAGAAGGAAGTAGCAGATATATTGAAGGGTCATATTTTAGTGGGTCACGCATTAAAACATGATCTCAATGTACTCTACCTGTCACATCCTAGAAGATATTGGCGAGATACTTCGAGATACAAACCCTTCCGTCAGGTATCAAAAGGAAACACTCCCAGTTTAAAAAAGCTCGCCTATGAATTATTAGGTAGAGAGATACAAGTAGGTGAACACAGTTCTGTGGAAGATGCAAGGGCAGCGATGCAATTGTACATGTTATACAAAAATAAGTGGGAGTCGGAAAGAAAACATTAACGAGTGGATCTTTATAATATGGTATACTCAGAAAAAAGACATAGAGTGATAGCAACCATAAAGGTGACAAATTTTACATAAATTAATATTCGTATTTAATAAACTTTTTGATGGTTATTGTCATTAATTTATTTAATTATATAAATTCTCTTTATGTAAAATTATATATGTTAATTCTACATATATACATAAAACTATATTAATACTTTGTTAGAATTTATATAGTTCGTAATGTGAACTTAGGTAACAGAAGTTTGTGGTAACTTAACTGAAAATTATGTTACATTAATCTTAAATGTAATGAACATATGCATTAAATTTCTTGTAAATCCCCATAAAATTTTTGTAAAAAGTACATTAGATTTCATCAAATTTTATGAAAAGTACATTAAATTTCACGAAATTTTATAAAAAAAGTACATTAAATTTCATGTACATGTATACAAATATTTTTTCAGTTAAATATATTAAATTTAATGTAACACATCATGAAATTTACTTTATGTGTATATATATATATATATGTATGTATAAATATTAACCTTATACATTATGTATGTATATATAATATCCTATGTGTATATATATCATATATAGTATATAACTTAAGAGTACATTGATTAAATTTCATGATATCTTTAACATGTGTATATATATTCAACTATATGTATATAAATTCTACATATGAAACATATAATTGTTATCTTTATAGTTGCTAGGAAGATCTTTCACAAGTCTTTCACAAGTTGTCTTGTCTATCTAATAAATAGACAATATCATGCTTGTGAAACTCCAAGAACAATATAGTGTAACCTCTGCCATTTGTACTTGATGATAAATGATTGTACAATCATAGGTCTATGATCATATTTGACTATAAGCGGATATATTTAATAAGCTGTAATAATATAAATGTTTTACATAATAAAAAATATATATATATATTTTACTGTAAGAGGTAAGCATTTTTTTATATCACATATTTAATATATATTAAATCAGTTATTGTTTATTCTTTTGATATTATTTCCTCTTTATAAACATCGCAGATTTTTGAGGAATAAACGATTTTTTTGAATTAAAATCAACATCGGCCATTGTGTACTACGGAATAGTAAAATGTGCATAAAAGAAAAGATTGAAGGTTTTCGCATTTATTTGGTAAACACGCGGGATATGACCTTATCGGTATCAGCCTTGTACTTCCCTCTCTTTAATTAGTATAATATTCCACTTGGTCATTTTGATTTTCGCTTTGGCTGTGACACATGTATCTTACATTCTACTGGATTTCGTTTTGATACTAACGCTTTATGTTTTTCTATTGGTGAGTAATTATAACTACTGAATTATACGTTATCAAAATTTTATCTTTTAATTTCGTAATGATTAACACATCACGACGTTAATCTTGTCTTATCATATTATTGTCAAGCGCGTTCTATTTGAGCATATGTGATACTTGTTATTTAACAAGCTAGTTGTCTTCAGAGAATTTGATTCGCATCTTCAAGATTCGACCAACGTTAGTGAAAAGTTGTAACTGTGGTAAATTTAAATTGAGAAAATAATGTATGAATATTTTAACTCTTTAATATGTGATAAAAATGAACAGATAAAACGAGTGTTCGAATCTTGCTTGAACCTGTCGCACCTTTCACAAATCTAGCTAGTTTACTTGAAGCCGTAAATAGTCGCCGTTGTGATCGATTTGTGATTTCAACAGGAAAAGTTATATAAGCGGATGCACGCTCTCATTCACAGATCTTTTATTAATCTCTCATTAATTATTGAGAAAAATAGCAAAACGGTAGAGAATTTTTTTTGTTCAGTTTAATTTTATTTGCCTATATAAGAAGTGATACAATTATTTCCAGACACTATATAAGTTTAATCGCAATTGTTTATAAAAATATATTATCAGTACTGCTGTATCAGTGAATGTTTTATGACTACGATTAATATTGCAATAAAAACGAATATAAGATAACTTATTAATATTCCAATTGAAATAAATATGTAGAAGATAATGGTTTCTCGTATAAATTTAAACAAATGATAACTTATCATTCTTGACCAATAACACATTTAGCTACTGTTAGCTTACATGCAAAGAATTGGGAGCATTACTTTATAAAACGTATATTATTATTATTCGTGTTACACTTTTAAAAACTTAACTTATTATTACCGTATTTAGAAGGTGGCTAGTATACATATTTTTAGAAATTTACATTGTAATTCGCAAACGTAAATTTTATTAAAAACTTCCCCAAATAACATAAAGTCTAAAATTATGACATAAAACGACTTTAAATCGTCTTTTGAGCGCAAAAAATATCTTATGACCCGATTTTAGACATTTTGTTGTCTGGATCTATTACAGATATTGTTTTTAAACATTAATGTTGTTATTAAAAGTATATTTCAAAATTGATTCATGTTATATAGTATCTACGTATATGTACTACAAATTTTTAGTATTGGCTGTGACTATTAGAATACAACCTAAATATAATAAAGTACAAGAGAGACGTATTAAAATTTTTATTTAAAAACAAAATATTGCTTTCTAACAAAAAATAATGTAATTTATTGAATAGGCATATATGTACACGCGTAAAGATAATAGGAAACTAAGTAATAATAAAAGTAAAACTGTATTCGTTACTGTAAAGCTGTAACGATGTTATTGTTGTAGATAGAAAAAAGGAACAATTGTTACCGAAAAAATTAACATTATAAATACATATATAAATTACATTATAAATTACATATATAAAAATATAGAAAGCAATGGGATATTATATAATTGCGTCTCTCATAAACCAAGCTTATTAATTCTATTTTTTTTTTAATTTCTTAAATTTGATTGGCACATGATTATAATTTCCTCCGCATTTCATTTTATATGATTAATTACCTTGACTTCTGAAAGATTCCAATTATTCCTCCAATTGTTATTAAAGAAAATTTGCCTCTGCATCGACTAAGAATGGTAGAAGCAAGATGCAGTAGGTCTAAGATATCCGTGTATTTCAAAGTGAATATTATATCATAATTATACTTTATTAACTACGAAATAGCTTGCTGATATAGCTGGAAGTACCAACGAGGATTTCTCGCTTCTACGAAGCTTAAATACCCAACGACTGCGCAATCATGAAAATCGCCGTGATCGGCGCCGGAGGCGCGGGACTTGCTGCACTCCGGCATTGCGTTTCCGGTACTTACGGCGATCAGGTGGTATGCTACGAAAAAACAGACCAAATCGGCGGGACCTGGGTCTATCGAGAGCAAACTGGTTTCGATAGATACGGTTTACCGATTCACACTAGCATGTACAAGAGCCTCAGGTACGGCGCGTATTTCTTGCAGCGAACTTTTATTTTTCCTCATAAAAATTCAACTTGAAGTTGTAATAATCAGTTATCCGTTTTGAGTAATTAAATTAGCCAGTATTGAACTAAATTTTTGTAAAGGTTTCTCAACAATTCTCAATTCTGCATAAAGATTCTGCACGTAATATCAATTTAAATTGCGATTAATATTCTAATTTAAAATTTAACGTTAGTCTTAGTTTTATATTTTGCATTTTGTTACGAAAAGTTAATTTTTCCATGAGTATTTTCACAGAAATGAATTCTCGATGATGAATTTCATCCCGGCATATGTATTATAAATATTTAATCCATTGCAAATTATACAATAACGTCTAAAATTAATTTATCTATTTTAGAGCTAATTTACCGAAGGAAGTAATGGGCTATCCAGATTTTCTGATACCAGATGGACCCGTGAGCTATCTGACGCGCACGCAGATGCTGGATTTCTTGAATTCATACTGTGATCATTTTAAGCTACGTCCTTATATTCGGGTGGGTGCAAAGATAGAGGAAAATGGCAACGCGAAGTGCTTGTATCAAATATGACTGCATTTCATCTGAATTATTATTAAACATGAATTTAAATGCACTATTTAATACTATTATTAGTACATTATTATTATATATTAATATAATATAGTAATATTATTTTAATTATTTATTTATAGTATAATATTATTGAATATAGCGTATTGTATAACTAATAATACATA